CCAAATCAGTAGTCCGCTTCCTTACCGGACATGCAGAAAGATGGCACTGACGACGGGCAGTAGGGCGGAGCTAGCCATTAGCATGCCGAGAGAGAAGCCGGTTTTAGAGGGTATCTGTACATACGAGTAGTTTAACACCTTCCTGTACATACGGATGGACGAGTACTTGACTACCAAATTAAGTGATTTTTTAAAGATAATACGTGTATCATTCATATAGTATAAAGGTCAAGATACAAGCCACATATACATCGATTTATCAAAACTGAAAATATGGCAAAACGCTAGTCTTTACACAAAGGGCCATCAACCCAGAAAGAAATTTACAATCAAGATCAACACATCCTCTGATCATGACTCCAACCTATGTCACCTACCTCCGGCATCACTGTAGCAGCCACCAAAGAAAAATATGACGAGTCATCTCTTCACCCAATCTCGATACTGCTCCATTGTTGACATCTAGCTTTGTGGACCTTCAAAGTGTAGCTTAGCAAATGCGAAGTCATTGCCGTTGAAAGAATTTGACAGGGGGCAGCACTCAGGACACACCATTAAACTGTAGATCAGGCACCCTAGATAATGTGTGGGTTCGTGATTGGTAGCTGGCAGGTATTCCTCTGGCGTCTTAGTCGTACCAAATTAAGTCTGGTGTAGTACTATTGCACATTTCATTAGATGTAATTCTCTTTATGTTGGCCTGCCACTTGTTTATTGATGTCACACGATCTAATTTTGTCTCGTCATATTGTAATTATTAAATTTCCATCAAGCCTGGTTAGTATAGTATTTATCGAAACCGTACCAAAACAGTTTGGTATTACTGAAACCGGACCATAGAGTTAATTTGTACAATATTAAGCAAATTATCAAAACCTTATCTATTTAGAAACCGCACTAACTGAACGCCCAAGGACACACGCAAGGGATAAGCGGGCAAGCACTAGGGAAAAGGACTTGAGGGGTGGAGGAAGGAGACAAAAAAAAAAGAATGACAAAACATATAGATGTGCTCTAACTAAGGCACATCTAAATGTGTCCTAGACAGACCCTCATTTAAAATTAATTTAGAATTTTCTCTGGAACAAGCACTTTTGAACGAACTCAAAAGAAATACTAGGAGACAATATCCTTTTATGTAGTTTTCCTACCATATATATGGACCCCATTAATAATTTGATTTTACAGCGATATGTGTCACGTATTAGCAGGTTTCTTTTCATCTAAGTTGATCCTTGCCATTTAATTTCTGTTAACTAATGGAAACTATTAATTACATTATTTCAGCAACAATAATGACGAAAGTAGAGGTGCAAGTGGAGCAATGGCAAGAACATGGGATCCAAGTTTTGGTGCTACTGAGCTTCACGATGCAGCTAGTGCTTCTCGTCCTGGCAGAGTTCCGTCGGCGCATAGACTCTGGTGTGCTAAGAGCGGTGATTTGGTCAGCTTACATGCTGGCCGACTCAATAGCGATATACATCTTGGGACACTTGTCCGTGACAAGCAGGTCAGAGGACCACGAGCTGATGGCGTTTTGGGCACCATTCCTGCTATTGCACCTTGGCGGGCAGGACAACATCACTGCATACGCTATCGAGGACAACCGGCTCTGGCTACGGCACCTTCAAACACTCGTCGTGCAGGTAGCTGCAGCTACCTACATCATCTATGAGTCCACCATCGTCAGCACCCACACTCTGCTTTGGAAGGCTTCCGTCCTCATGTTCGTGTTGGGCGTTGTCAAGTATGGGGAGAGGGTGTGGGCTATTAAGTGTGCTGACACTAGAGCATCAGCCAGCAACTACAAGTTCTACGATACAGTGGCATGGTGTACAAATAAACCACCAATAGAACGGCGGGACCAGAGGGCTTGTTGCGGATAGCCCACCTCCTGTTGGATGTTCCAAAGGATCTCTTTCAGGGGCCATTGACCAGAGTAGTGGTGATACACCAGGCCATGACTCAAGACATCATCCCTGCGAATGAGCTATACAAGGTGGTGGAGATGCAGCTCAGCCTGATGCACGATGTCGTGTACAGCAAGGCGGAGGTGATTCACACATGGTATGGCATTTGCATTCGCTTCATTTGTCCAGTTTTCGCCAGCGCCACATTTGTTCTGTTCCATAGATCGGCCTTGTCGATGGGTGATCCGCACTATAGCAGAACAGATGTTGCCATCACATATGTCCTGTTAGGTGGGGCTGTTATGTTGGAGATGGTATCAGTGCTGAGGGTCATGTTCTCGAGATGGCTAAGTGTGATCCTAGGGAAGTTGGCCTATGACTTCATGGGAAGTGAAATGGGCATGTGGGTTTTCCTTGCTCGTGCAATCACATCTGTTCGGCGATTCCTCCTTCCGGAGAGAAACGGGTCGAGATGGTGGTGGTCATGCTCTATGGGGCAACATAACCTGTTGAACTTGTGTGTTGGCAGCAGCGCCAGTCGAGGAAGCAGGATCGCTGGCTGGATGGGGCTTGAGGACTGGTGGAATACAATGGTCTACTCACGCTCCATCCCTGTTTCCACAACTATCAAGGAACTAGTGTTGAAACAAGTGCAAGGGAGTAGTCCAGGCAAGAGCGATGGGTGGTGCCCCGCCAAGTTCACGGATGAGATGCCAGACAACATCATCAATTCGCAGGGGCGGGCGGCCTTAAAGAAGTGGGGATCGTATGAGAGACTAGGCAGGTTCGTGTATATGGAGTTGGATGAGAGCATCCTCGTGTGGCACATCGCGACGGATATCTACCTACGATGGCACAGAGATCAGAGGCAAGCTGTTGAAAAAGATGTTTGTCAACTTGCCGAGGCAACCGAGGAGATGTCCAATTACATGCTTTTCCTCCTTGCGGCACGCCCTTACATGTTGCCGGACTCTGTCGGCCGCACTAGGTATGTTAATGTGTGCTACTGTCTCACCGCCCTCAAATACATGACAATCTATGATTTAACCAGCTTGATAACTTCGCTGAGTGAGGATGGGCACTGTGCAACGGAAAACGTAAAGAAGCATCAAGGTGAAATAAAAAGATGCCTTCAAAGGAATACAACACTGAAGGCGGCACAGGAGCTTGCTCGCGAGCTGATCTCTCCGAAGTCTGGCATACCTACCGAGTTGGAGATGCTCACGGAAGTATGGGTCGAGATGATGTGCTATGCTGGGTATAGATGCAGCGGATATTCTCATGCCAAGCAGTTGAGCATGTTAGACTATGTATCGCCTGGAGTGCTCGGAAACAGGCTACTGTGTCACGTAGCAGTATTGAAGCTGAGTACAAGGCTGTGGCTAATGCTACTGCAGAGATTATTTGGGTGCAGTCTTTGCTTCAGGAGTTGGGTTTGTCTCAACCACAGCCTCCTATTCTTTGGTGTGATAACATCGGTGCTACATACCTTTCTGCAAATCCAGTATTTCATGCCCGAATGAAACACATTGAAGTTGACTATCACTTTGTACGGGAACGTGTATCACAGAAGCAACTCCAGATCAAGTTTATCTCATCTAAGGATCAACTTGCAGACATCTTCACTAAGCCTTTACCGCTGCCACAGTTTGAGGCTTGTAGGCGCAATCTTACCCTTCTCAGTTCTTTAGAAAGTGGCTAAGATTGAGGGAGGGTGTTAGACTATGTATAGCTTCTGTACCTATGTACGTATATGGTACATATTGTAACACAACCATTATATATAATGAGATAAGCCACCCCTAGAGGGTTGTGCTGGTTCCCCAAAACTTATTGTCTTACAGAGCAATGGCGGCGAACTCCTCACCATCGTTGCCCTTGTGGTGGAGTACTATAGAAGAGAAGTCCTAAAACCTTTGAGTAGTGCAAAAAAGGAGGAGGAGGAGGAAGGAAGGCCAGCAGTCAACCATGATGTTGCTGGTAACCTGAAGGCGACGATACAGATCGTCCTGCAACCTACTAGCATTGAACCGATGTCCCCATCTCCCTCTCGATCTCTTGAGGCACCCCTTGGTGAACCACGGAGCCTCTCTTATGAGTCCAAGGATGAGATATCCCAGGTCTGAGCTGATCACCTTCATGGGATATCCCCGTCAAATATTTGGCTCTCTGGAGGAGAGGAACTAGTGTTAGTTTTCGTTGTGCTTCCATTTTCTGTTTGCTTTTCTTCATCTATGCTTCTTCCCATGTAGAATGAATGAATGAACTCGAATAATATCTATATACATTTTCGAATTGAAGTATATTATCTATCTATGGCTTTGGGATTTTTGTTTCTTTTTTTCCTTGCATGGAGAACTTCTTGTGTACTACATAGATCTTTCATTCTAAGTCAAAGTTTTAAAACTTTGACCAACTTTATATGGAAAAAGTAATAACATCTATGAAACTGAATTGGTATGAGTAGATCCGTTTTGAAATGTACTTTTCTAATATACAAATTTGATGTCATATATGTTACTACTATTTTCTATATAGTTGGTCAAAATTTTAAAACTTTGACTTGACAAAAGGTAGATGTACACTTGTTTGTGGACGGAGAGAGTACTCACTACCAAAAACTGAAATTTTCCTGTGAGGCGAAAACCGACAGGAAAATATGGGAAACCGACAGGAATGTCTTTTCCTGTCGGCCAACCGTCAGGAATGGCCGCCAGCCATAGCTTGACAGGGAAAATAAGCTATGCCTGTCGGTTGGCCGACAGGAACTTTATCCCTGTCGGTTTTACTAGTTTCTCTGGCGGTTTTGGCCCTACAAGGCGTTGTATAGGCGTCAGGTTTGGCCAACCATGGAAGTGGTATATCCCTGTCACACAGCCGCCAGGAAAATAAGATACAAACAAACAAAAAAAAATCCATATTGATAGTTTTACACATCTATTCCATTATTCAGAATACTCAGAACATAGAAGCATCGATTTCAATAGTTTACGTCAACCATAATTCACATATACAATTCCATAGAATTTACATGAATCAAAGGCTAACAAAAACAGAGGTCCAACATGAGACCTCATTTTCTATAATGCCTTGCTGCAGCTTAAGTTGCAAGCTGCTCTTCAAGGTTACCCTGCAGTGGCATAATTGAACTTGTGAAAATGAGCAAGTGTCAACAGTTTGCTACAAAAAGGTAACAAGAAACAGGAAAACATATATAAGATATGATCAACATAATCTATTTGGAATCTCAGCTTCTCACATTAACATTGGCATATAGATTATGTTGATCATATCTTATATATGTTTTCCTGTTTCTAGTTTGGTTGAGATTCCAAATAGATTCCAAAAACAATAGCTATGGATAAACAGAACTAGAGAACACATTTTTACAACACTTACAAATTGAGACAATAAAAAATCAAAATGGAATAGAAATAAGTTGTGTTCATACTAAACAAACATAGAAATTACTGGTTAAATGCAGATCTCATGATCTTTGGCACAATGGACATAGCATGGTATGATTTAATATACATGAGACAACTTGATCAGCAATTATTAATGATAAAACCTTGATTAGAGACCAGGGTGAAAACAAAAGTAAAAATATATACCTTGAATAGAGCAAAGGCTCTTGCATCTCACGTGGATCCCGGATCTTGAATTTTGCTCCTAATCATGAGCTGCAAACTAGAAAAATCGTTCCTCAAATAAGCGCTGGCCAATATTTAATTTCTAGGTTCAAGTACATACAACAACAAAATATGGAAGGGAATATTACCACTTCATTTGGAGGAATATTATACAATTTCTTGACGCCAAGTGATAACCTCAACCTCATCTTTAACCTCTCTGTTGCACTGATGATGTGAATTGTACTTGCAACGCAACTGCTACTGGATAGAGAGCAAACTGTAAGAGAATAAAATCATAAGGAAATAGAATGGCACGTAATTGGACTGAACAAACATTACTTTCATGACGCGTTCCCTGCATTATTTTCATTTTCAGTGCATTATTCTGGACAGAGCGAACCAAACCAATGCGCTTCAGGAAAGAGTTCCCTGCATTATATTCATTTTCAGTTCAAGGTAGCAATATGGTCACCGGTTAAAGCTTGAAAAAAAAATGATATTTCCAACTGACACACCAGACGAAGCATCTAAATGATCTCAACATAGTTAAAGGCCATATTATAAACACATGTATATACCCTGTACAAGCCACTCAAAAACAGAGGAACCATGTTCATGTATGAAAATTCCAGGAAGTAAAAATGACCAATGTGCACCTCCATGTATATCTACATCACAAAATATGGGTTGTTATATACAACCAAAAAACAGCAATCAATCTTGGAGAATAATAAAAATTCAACAGATCATCATAAGGAAAATTATGCCCCTAAGAATTTATTGGTCATGTAACCTGGAAATGAAAGCAAAAGATCTCATACAACCTTTCTAAAAGCAGTTGGCTCTAGTACCAGTACAATATCTTGCAGCATACGGTTCCATAGGAGAGGCGTTCAACTACTTTGGCCTATTAAAAATGAATGTCCGTATAGACCCATTTGCTTCCACTAGTACCCAACAAATTAGGGAGAAGAAAATGCTTATTATTTTATTGTGAATCCAAACGGAGGTGCTTACAGATGAAATTTATCAGAAGGATACATATCCGAAAGAAGAGAATATACATCGATTATTATAAGTGAAAAAACACCATAGTAGAGGTAGCGCCTAGATCTGGAAGGGACGCTACCTGGATGGAACGGGGTGGTACTCAAAGAAGGATGCTACGGCGGTCGAGTGACGGCAGTGGCAGCGACGTCGACGGAGACCCTCCCCGCGGAGGCAGTAGGGAGGTTGACGGCGATATTCCGGAAGGGGTCGTTCCATGGTCGACGACCCTACAAACATGGCAGAGGGGACATGCGAGAGATTGGAGGAGGGGGAGCCGGCGGCGAGGGATTC